ATCAATACGGCAAGAAAGTTCTAAATAAATTTTTATCAGTGGTGTCGAATCTTCTCTTTTGAAATATCGTTAATTCGTATTATATAGCGTTAAAAAGCATTGGTTTAGGAGGAAAAAGCGTTACTTTTCGTTAGTATAACAAATAATAAATTTTTCCCAAATTACGTAATACTAATTCGAGTTAATACTCCTATTTCATAAAAATATTGTGGGAAAAGATACTAAATAAATTTTCATCAGTGGTGACGAATCGTCTCTGTTGAAATATTATTAATTCGTATTATATAGCGTTATAAAAATGTTGGTTTAGGAAGAAACAGCATTACTCTTCGTTAGTATAACAAATAATTTTTTACTAACTTACGTAATACTGATTCGAATTAATACCCCTAGCTTATGAAAATATATATTGGTGGCCAGTTCTAAATAAATTTTTATCAGTGGTGCCGAATCTTCTCTTTTGAAATATTGTTAATTCGTATTACATAGCGTTAAAACATATTAATTTTAGTGGAAAAAGCGTGTCTCTTCGTTAATATAGCAAATAATAATTTTTGATCAAATTACGTAATACTGATTCGAGTTAATACTAATTTATGAAAATATTGTGGAAAAGGGCAGCAAAGTAAACTTTTATGAGTGATATCGAATCTTCTCTATTGAGATATTGCTAATTAATGTTACATAGCGTTAAAAAATATTGGTTTGGAAGGAAGAATCGTGACTCTTGGTTAGATTTCCGCCCCGAAGGTTGCCTCGACGCAATGGCGTCCACGTCGAACGCGGGTGGTGTGTTCGTGTAAACAAATTAAGCACTAGACGTCAGTCGACTGACCTTTTTCGCGCGCTTATAACTGACCTGGCCAAGGACCGCGAGAAACGCTCGAGCCAAGGTAAAGGCAAGGCCGTAAACTACCCTTAAGCACCTTTCACAATGGCCGCGGTGATCAATTACGTGCGAACGAGGATCAAAAGTGTTCTCCATGCACTCGCGGAGCCTCGCATTAACTCGAAACGCTAGAATTTATAGCGCTCCAATGACAAATACACGACTCTTTAAGAACAAATCGTTCATTTTTTCCCCTCCTTTCACACGTTCTTCCTTCGGCTATACTTCAATTCCTCGCTTTTCGCATCTTCCCTTCCCTGCGTCGCGTTAATATTTCAAATTCGAGTTGCACGAGCTTTTATGACGGTTTATACGCGACTCGTTATTTCGCGCACCGTGATTCGCCGTTAATTATGCGCGATACGGGCCGATTTATGAGAGCAGCGAATCGTTGGCCGCCATTAAAAGTACAAACGCGTCGTTCCATACGAATTGCACGTCCGCCGGAAGCTGATGGCCTCGCGGGGTGGCTGTCGCGTTAAAAGCCACTGCTCGTGACATTTGTTTCGACACCAAATTTTACGTGCATACGTGTTTCCACGACTTTTACGAACCTCCACATTCACCCTACCATCCCCAAATTTCGAAGATTCTCAAAATCTTCACACTCCTCTTTCTTTCATCGATTTATCCAGTCTTCATAGTGATACATGTGTTCATTTTCGATGTTTTAAATTTTAATTAACCCTTCCGCTACTATGAGTGACTAACTGGCCACAAGAATTGAGTAAAAATTAAGGCAAGTGCTACCGTTCCTCTTCGCACAAAATTGCAAGCGCTATTGCGATGGTCGATCTTTCCTCCTTTTTCATTTTTCCTTCAAAAGACTTGGTCTCAAATACTAAAGACTTCACGATCATAATGTTTCCATCGTTGGTACGATGCTTTGTTCTACGAGAAAGATTTCGCTGCAATAAAACTCACCATAGCGAAAGGATTCGTTTTAATTTTGAACGCGTCAATCCCAGAAGCAGTTATTACTACCTTAACCTTACCTCACTTAACTCACTAGCGCCACCACGGTCCATATCTCCAATAAACATCTATATACGCAAATATCGTATATATCGTATATAAGCAGTTTTCGTATCGATAACCGCGAATCATTCGGTAAATGGAGGGCAAAGAAGACGTAAATGAATCAAAATGGCGTCGGGAAAGATCGCGGATGGACAAGAGGAAGAACCGCGCGCTCGACGAAGCTTATTAACTAATTGACTCGTCCGCTTTCTGTTTTTCGAGCGATTCGCGCGAGCGTGCGGCGATCGATTCGCGAGATGACCCCCGTCAGATGCTGATGATTTATCGGCCGCATTATAATTTATAAACGCCCGGCCCGTGCCTCTGTTATCGCGCTCGATCGCCGGATAAAATTACTCCGCGCGAGAGGGACGGAGAATCGGCGAGAGAGAAAAAGCGAAACGAGAGAGGAAGAGAGAGTTATCGCGAATTTTCGCGTGCAGCCTCGCGTGCGGCTTGCTGCAAACCCCGAGCAAAATTGTCGAGAGCGTTTCGAGCCTCCCTTGCACCGTACTTCCGGCCAACCTTCGAGCGAATTTCACGTACGTGCATTCGACGTCGCTTGTTGTTGTTGCAGGCACCGCGAATCTAGTTTACGCGCAATTTAACCTCTCTCTGCCGATTTTCGAGGCTCCCGGGTTTTTGGACGTTGCGGAAATTTTCCCCGAGTTTCTGGAGAACAAGGAGATTTTCGCTGAGGAAACTTCCGGTGATCTAATAAAAACATTCCTTCGTCGTTTGTACTCTACATTTTTTGGGAATTAGTTGTTAAATCGTTATAATTCATATGGATTATTTTACGAATTTTTTTGACTATGGGAAATACTGGGAAAATTTTTTGAAGCTCCCAAGAAAATCTTCAAAGTATTCTTTCTTTTGCTGCAGAGGGTGAGTCGATATGAATGACAGTTAAATAGAAAAATACTGTAAATCAAATTTTGTACATTTATCAGGACGCATGTCAACTTTTTAAACCCTAAATTTTGGAAATATGTAAGCTTAAAATTTTTAAATAGCTTCGTAAATTTTTATATTGTCTTCTGAAAATTACATCCTCTTAAATACACTAAATTATGAGTTATTTTGAATGGTTGTTCTAATTAATTCATCCTATATTTTATTTCAGGGATTGAAATATCTTTTAACTGACTATCATGAATTTTTTCTTCTTTTTATTTAGAAACAATGAATAATTTTATAAAGAAATTGACCAATTCGATACTCAGATACCCTAAGGGTTGACCAAGCGACGCTTTAATCTTTGTTCTTCCAGCTTCTTTAAAGCTTCCAGGGTCTCTGGTACCATTTCCGCATTCCACCCCCTAATTCGAGATACAGGAAGTGGTCGTTGGAAGTTTTATAGCCAACTATAGCTTCTGCGATGGAAGTCACCGTAAAAGCTGACTCGGCCCGATGCTGGAATTTCCACTAAAATTAAATGCGTTTTCGGTGTAGACGGTGTGCCGCGATAAATCATCGTGTCGGCGATAAAACGCGCAATATTTTGCCGCGAAGCGATCCCATCGCGTCGAATCTGACGGCAGACAGATAGTTGGTGCTCGTCGAAAGCCGTCGAGCTTTCCTCTCGCGACGAGATCGCTGCAACTTTTCGAATGCATTTCGAAAACCGCGCTGTCGCGCTCGCTAATTCTCGTCACGCTCGATCTCGCCAATTTTTGCTGAAAAATTACGTTCCGACTCGCTTCGTTGTCTTGGCTACAGAGCCCAAGGTTCCGCCTGAAGATAAGTTTGGTTTCTGAAAAATTGGTGAAGTTAATAGAAGTTAATATCAAAGGTTTAGATTGGTGTAGATTTTTATATGTGGAATAGTCACTTTTGTATGTGTTATCAAATTTGTGATGGATATAGTTCACAGCCATTAGCCCTTTCACGAGAAAGAGTTTCGAGAGTCCTGTGACGACTTTGCACTTAACTCACTAGCGCCACCACGGTCGATATCTCCAGTAGACATCTATATACGCAAATATCGTATATATCGTTGAATTACTTTCTATTCCTATCGATATAATCTTGCAATTTTCTTTTTAAGATTTAACCTAAGGATTTCGCAGGTTATGCTGCACTTTTGATACAATTTACGTTTGGAACTTTGGATTTGAAACGTCCGAATTAGAAGTATTTACAATTCTCGGTAAAGTAATCTCGAATATTTAATATTCACAGGATCTTGCGACCTAATTCATGATGTTGTTACTCGAGAAGTTTATTAAATATGCAACGTTGTCTCGCGACGTATAGAATCATCGATTGTCGAAGAAAGAGTCAGGGAAAACAGCGAGGAAAGGAATAAATCTGGGAAAAATTCTGCGTACGCTTGTGGCACGATGTAATCCTACAATCGTTGCAGAAACTCGGCCATAAAACCGTCTAATCAGCGACGCAAGGTGATCGAAAGGGTTGTCACGCGCTTCACGTGAGCCTGGCGATCGAATGGAGGTCGCTGCGTTTACGAGGGCGAAGCGAAACATGGAAGAAGTAGGGTAGACTGTTCTCACGCGAGCTTTTACGAGTCTGTCTTTCGAGATTCTACGACCTTCCGAGGGAAGGAAAGCGCACAGGCGTCTCGAACGATTTCTTTATAGCACCGCGGCCATTACGGAATTGCCGTCGTGCCGTTGTTGCACTCGCGAAAGGATCTCACGAATATTATGGCCCCGACGAAGTGCGTTCCGCCATTTTATATCGCGCCTTCCGTGCAATTTCTCATCGCCCGACCGTCGTTCGGCTGAAATTTCCCCTTAACTCGCGTCTTCAATGGAAATTCTCTTTTATTCTTGCCCCTGGGCTCATTTTCTTCTTTAATATCCAACGAAACTTGCATTTTTTCACCCTATTCGAGTAGCGCGTTTCATTCTATTCGATATACTTGGTAATTTCCGTCGATGGGAATTTTTTACTCGAAATCCACAGTCGTGCCTGTTAGACGAATTATTCTCCCGTGTTTCTCTCGCGAGTTCTCGGTAACTTAATAAGGCAAGACTAATCGCGAGAAGCTTCGTCGAGTGGAATTTCTCGCAGAGTTTCCGTGTCGCGGAGCAGAGTGGATAAATGTTGCCGGTTGTTTTCGCAGTTACGCGGCGTGCTGCGATTTTCTGCAGAACAACAACCTGCTCAGCATCATAAGGGCGCACGAGGCGCAGGACGCAGGCTACCGTATGTACCGGAAATCACAGACGACGGGCTTCCCATCGTTGATCACCATCTTCAGCGCGCCCAACTACCTCGACGTTTACAATAACAAGGTGAGACGACGAGCTACCGAGGAACAATGGCGAACGGGAATCACGAAATCCGTTCGTGCTGCCTTTCTTGATAGAACGTTATCGAGTTCATGGGAATCTCTTTTGCGCGATGCCGAAGTTGCCAGAGACTCTACCTTCCTTTTCACGTTCACAGGCAGCGGTGCTGAAGTACGAGAACAACGTGATGAACATCAGGCAGTTCAACTGTACACCGCATCCCTACTGGCTGCCCAACTTCATGGACGTCTTCACGTGGTCCCTGCCATTTGTAGGTGAAAAGGGTAAGTTGTTTATTGGTTAGGAAATTATCTACGAATGTTCCATAAGCGAGATTAATTTTATAGATTACAGTAGTGCCTCGTTAATTTTTCGAAACGGGTCGAAACTGATTATCACGAGTCTGGGCCGTGGTACATCGGTCGGGTCGAAACTGACTATCACGGGCCTGGTACGTAGTACGTCGGCCGGGCCAGATGTAAATACCACGTGTCACGCCCATGGTTTGTTAATGTGCCCCACATAATCTCGTATGATTAGTACAACTTAAGACAGATTTCTATTCATGTTTCGGGACCAAGCTGTTGAATTTTAAATCGTGAGGCAAGGGGTTAACGTGACCATATTTGGTCATGTTAAGGGTTGGACGCATCGCCCAGGGTTTTTCCCAATTGACCTCGACTTTGTTCTTTCGTGGATGGAAAATTCACGATACTACAAATTTCAAAACAAGGATGCTGAAAATTTCCCGGATGATCTACTTAGGTACCTTCGATTTTGGCCAAACCTGGTCCCAATCGTTGAATTCTCGAGGCACTACTGTATGAGACTCAATTGATTTCACGGAGAAATGCTAGCTTAGACGAATTACCATTAATTTTATTTTTATTTCTCGTTCAACAGTCACGGAGATGTTGGTGAACGTGCTGAACATCTGCTCGGACGACGAGCTGATGAGCGACGGAGATGAAGGGCTCGAAGAAGGTAATGTCCACTGTTACTTCGCTCCTTCCTCGTTCTTCTTTAATATAATCACGTTTCTTGCAGAGATTCTTCTTTCTCTATCTATCTATCTCTCTTTATATATATATTTATACATATCAGTATATTTTTTTTACTTATTTCTCAAATCGATATCCACTGGTCCCTCTTACATCGTGATCAGAGTGTTCCCTCTTGTGCGCCACGTTTGATGCTTGAACGATTAACCGATTGAAGGGAATGTATGTAGCCAGTATCCAATATTCTTTTTCATTTTTTTTCTCTCTCTCTCTCTTGTACCATTTATTCGTTCAAGGAAGCAAGAAGGTTTTATCCTTGTTAACGGAGAAGAATGTTTTCCTTTTTCGCGATTTTTCTTTCCACAACGCGTATTTCTCAAGCGACCGACGCTAATGTGTTTTCATCTGTCAGATCGAAGCGACTCGATGGAACGAACGATTCCAGTTTCGAGGCTTTATCGGCGATTCCGAACGTGCTCTAGACACGATTTAAGAGAGGCCATGTTGAACGCTCGGGAACGCGAGGATTCATCTCTTCACCGCGCGTTAAAGTCTCAGAGAGTCTAGATAACGAAGAGTGACACGTGGTTCCCTTGCTCTTTTTCTGAATCGTCGCGTTCAACCGAATGGAAGATCGATCGCGTGACTGCAAAGAACTTAAAAAACAGGAGATCTTCTCTTTTTCCATCTATCTCACACACTTTTCCACGATGCAGCTTCGATCCTCGCTGCTCATTTTCACCCCCTCCGAACGTGCAGCAACGAGCCTTTAAATTTGCACCCTTTCCATTGATTTTCCGTAAACATTTCCCCGCAGAGGGAAGATAAAGTGCATTCGAATTGTAGAGAAAGAGCAGTTCGAAGCGAGGAACGAAACTGTATCCTTTTTCCAATCGAACGACACGTTTCTTATTATCGAATTATTTCCTTCTCACGATTGGGTTGTCTCAAAAATTCCCAAGACACCTGCGCAGTGTCGAGCATTGATAAAAATAAAATTAAAATTAAAATAAAATCAAAATAAATTTATCGATGAGCTTTTAAAAGTCGATACGTTCTTATACACCGTTTCGCAGACAACTTGAGACAACCCAACGCGTCAAATTTTGTATTCATTTGGAAAGCTTTCACTTCTCGTAAAGGCTGTCTTGTACCCGCGATTACTCTACGATAGCCACCGGAACATGAACGTTTTTTAATCAGCTTTGCCGCCACGCCTCGATCCGCCAGCCGCAAAAGCAGACGACGAAGCTGCACCCTAAACGCGACTACTTCCGAATTATTTCTTCTCGATCTTACTCGAGTCACACCTTTCGTTCCACCGTTAATAACCACCCGCTACGGCCGCACCTGTCTTTTTCAAAATTCTCACCTTTCTCGGGATCGAGACGTTTAAGTGATAACAATATGAAAATTCAACGCGTACCTAAGAAAATCGGGTGAAAAAAAAAAAATAAAATGATAAGAAAGAATTAATAACGCAAAGGAACAAACGATCGAGACGAAAGGATCGATCGTCAGGGCGAACTTCGGATAGTATACTTATACACGAACCCCTTGCTCCCCTTTTTCACCCTCTCTGTTGTACCCCCCGTGAGCAATTAAGATACTGTGCCGCGAGAAAAAGGTACAAGTGCGTGTATGAGAAATAAAAGATCCGAGAACTGACGATTTAGAGAATAGAAATGTCGAATGAAAACGCGCCCATATCCCGTGGTATCGACTTTCAGAGGAAGATTTTGAATTCTCTTTCTGTTTCCATTTTCACCCGCTGCACGGACAGATGGTAAGAAGCGCCACTCGACTCTTCTAATCGTCACATTATTAACACTATTCCTACCGACAGTTCTCTTCTGCCAATTCCTACCGCGATCGGTCAAATGACCGGTTTTTGATCATTTTTAACACAGAATCGAGATAATAGGCAATTTAACCACTTGCGCTACGATTTAACTTTCGGTTGCCATGCCGCGTTCTACGATATAACATGCGGTAAGGCGTTATATTCACGCCGCACCGCGTCTACGAGCTAACTGTTAGTCGACGTGGTGGACACGTCGTGTTTGTTTCTGCGACGAATGCCTATCGACGTGGTATACACGTCGCTGGCGGCTTTGGCCAAAAGCATCTCGACGTGCGTGACACGTCTTTATAGCGCAAGTGGTTAACAGTATAAAAATACAGTTTCTTTTATTCGAAAGTATAGTATGTACAATTTATTAATTTTCACCGCACTTTTGTTACAAATAGTACATTTCATCCAGGATTGTACACTTTTCGCATTATTACATTCTAAGCAGATTTTGTTGGTCTTATTATCTTTGCAATATCTTATCTGGCATGTTTTCCGTGAACCTGTACTTATATTTGAGTCGTTCACTGCACGAGTCGATTAACTCCACTTTTTGAAAAATCTTAAATTTAAGTATCGAAGCACTTGGTATAGTTATAACATTTTATATTTATAATAACTTTCCTTGATAATTAAGATTAACACCGTTAAACGACAACAATTTTTTGCCCACTGAATAATAAATAATTTATTTCAGAGGACACTTTGATTAACTCCGTACTCTAATGTAAATCGTTGCAATAATGCAACTCAAATGCACTTGCAAGCCATGAATGATAACGGTGAATTTTTTAGTGCCGTCTTATCAGAATTTCAGTAAAATTTAGTGAAATTTGAATTTATTACTTTTTTCGTTTGCCAAATCGATTAACTCTTCCAGTATCATAAAAATGGTAACATTACCAACGATTACCTTTTGGCTATTTTTTCTTACAAATTTTATATACCGTTGGATGGAAGTTATATTTGTATTTATGCATTCTGCGATATTTATTTCCATTTAAATTATAAAGGGAATTTTATAAAATAGTATACATTATTTCCTTGCATTTCTCCACTTTTTGTTTTATGCAGTTAATCAATTTATGCAGTAAACGGCTCATTTGTGACTGGTGTTACTTGATCTTCTTTGTCTAGCTGTCTTTCTTCTTCATACTCGGTGGCAAATCTTCTGCCAATCGAAACAAAAATTGCCTCGTAATTTTTAAACCCATGCATTCAAGCGCATGGGCTAATTCCAGGATGTTAAAAAATACCTATAAAGATTATCTCCAAGATTTCCTGATTATTTTCCAAACACTCTTCATCGGTATTATTTATTTTCTCTAATAATAAATTCACATTCCTCGAACGTCTTGACATTTTGGGGGATGAATACTCAAAGAATAAAATAAAAATATAAAAATGTAAAGCAAAATTGATAAAAAGGATAAAATGTGAAACTTTCTACGAATTATTGTTGGGTTCCTTCACTTTTTTCAAAATGACACTTATAACAGGTCGCAGAATATAAAATAAGGGTTGAAAAATAACCGAATAGGTATACAAAGTAATACAAGACTGCACAAATCGATTAACTCCATTTTTTGAAAAATCTTAAATATAAAAAGTTATGACTATACCAAGTGCTTTGACATTTAAATTTAAGATTTTTCAAAAAGTGGAGTTAATAGATTTGTGCAGTGATCGGCTGAAATATGCTCCTTGTAACTTTCACGATTCAATGCTCTCTGCTTTTCAGAGAGATCATAAGACTTTACTGATTCGAATTCATGAAAAGACTTTTAGACATCCCCTTTGGTTATGATTTTATTTATTATACTTTATCATAGTGATGGTATATAAAAATCCGAGGTTGTGGACCTCCAATTTTTACCAATCTAATTAATAAACACCACGAGGCCAATAGCATTTCCTGGAAGGCACTATGAAGGCACTAAAATCATGCCACAATTGCAGATACTATTATGAAACTACTTAAATCGTTCAACCGGTTATATGACCAGTCGTGGTTGGTTATTTTTCCTCGTTAAATAAAAAATAAAAAAAATATATTTTAGCAAAAGTCGCGAAGTTTAAGGGCAATGCAATTACGTTGCATATAGGAAATTGTAATGGAAATTTTAGAAACGGTCATTTGACCGGTCATGGTGGGAATAGTGTTAAGGGCGATGCAATTACGTTGTATATAGGAAATTCTAATCGAAATTTCTAATCGGTCATTTGACCGGTCATGGTAGGAATAGTGTTAAGAGCTTCATTTATATTGATCATTGATTTTTTAGCTATATATTATTCTTTTTCATTAGATAGTGTCGGTGTGTCTGAATTTTCTTTTTTTTCCTCTCTCTCTATCTGTTTTCTCGTATTATTCGACGTATCTCTTTCTTTTTCTATCTCTCTCTCTATCTTCGCCATTTTGTTTCTGTTTCTTTCTCCTTCGGTATATTACGTACGTGAGCGTATACACGTGTACTAGTAGACGTGTATACGCCTGTTTTCTTTTCGTCTGTACGTTTTTTCCCTTCCTCTTCTTCTTCTCCTTTTCCGGAAGAGAAAAATGTTGTAAAAATTCGGAGAAATTGGAGACGACGAGAGAAAGGAAGGAAAGGAAAGGATGTATCGGAAGTGAGAGTTCTATTTTTTTATTTACACCCGTTCAAGAAGCGAATATTATTTTTGACATTTTTCTGCTTTCTCTTTGCGTTTTCTCTTTTCCTTTTCATTTTCGTATCTTTTCCTTCGATCGAATCACGATTCGCGCGCTCTGTACGTACGATTCTCCATTTTTTCTCTCACATCTCTCTGTCTGTCTCTGTCTCTGTCACTCTGTCTTCTCTCTATCCATGTTTCGTGGTTCGTACATCTCCTCGCATCAAGGTACGACGGATTTTTTCTATATTTTTTCTAACTCTCTTTTTGTATCTGTTTCTAGTCCTCTCTATATATATATCTATCTTTTTGTCTTTATATATTTATATCTATCCTTTGTTCTCGCTCTACGGATGTAATATAAATATATATATACAAAATTCACGTGTATTTACATTATCTCGATGGCACACGGCCTGAAATCTTGTCGTTGTCACCGGTAGAATTATCATTCTTCTGCATCGTTGCGATCATAGTAC